TCCCTTTCAGCATCCAAACCCAATGCTCCCCCTTTCCCGCCCCGCCCCCGCCCGGGCCGGTACCAGTGCTGGGCGGTGATGTACACGCTCTGCAGGGGGCCCAGCAGCTTGTTGTCGCCCAAGCCCAAGTGCTGCAGGCCGGGCGGGGGGCGGGCGCACAGGCACTTCATGCTGGCGATGTAGTTGCCGTAGAGCTCCAGCACCTGCGGGGCGGGAAGGCGCCGTGAGCCCAGCACCGCCCGTCCGCCGTCCTTCTGCCCCAGCACCGCCCGTCCGCCGTCCTTCTGCCCCAGCACCGCCCGTCCGCCGTCCTTCTGCCCCAGCATCATCCTTCTGCCCCAGCATCATCCTTCCGCCCCAGCACCGCCCGTCCGCCCGTCCTTCTGCCCCAGCACCATCATTCTGCCCTAGCACCGCCCGTCCGCCTGTCCTTCTGCCCCAGCACCGCCCGTCCGCTCGTCCGCCCGTCCTTCTGCCCCAGCACCATCGTTCTGCCCCAGCACTGCCCGTCCGCCGTCCTTCTGCCCCAGCACCGCCCGTCCGCTGGTCCTTCCGCCCCAGCATCGCCCGTCCGCCCGTCCTTCTGCCCCAGCACCACCCGTCTGCCTGTCCTTCTGCCCCAGCACCATCCTTCTGCCCCAGCACCGCCCGTCTGCCCGTCCGCCCATCCTTCCGCCCCAGCACCGTCCTTCCGCCCCAGCACCTGGTCAGGGTTTGTACAGGAGGCAGCCAATCCATGTCTCTCTCCCACATCGATGTTTCTCTATGTCTGTTCCTCTCTCTAAAAAGGCAACGGAAAAATATTCTCGAATGAGGATAAAAAAATAAATTGTTGATTGATTTTAGAGAGAGGAAGGGGGGAGGGAGAGAAGCATCAATTTATCGTTCCACTTATTGATGCGTTCCTTGGTTGCTTCTTATATGTGTCCTGACCGGGGATCAAACCCGCAACCTTGGCGTATCAGGATGACACTCTACCCAGCTAAGCTACCCGGCCAGGACCCCCGTCTCTTAATGATTGGATTTTGAGCAGCAGGCAGCCCAGCCGGTTCAGTGTCATCTGGGAAAGCCAGGCGAGCCCTGGGTGGAAAACAGCAGTGAGTTCTTGTATTTCGCCTCTAAGGTCTCTCCTGATATTGTTGTTTTTTGTTGTTGTTGTTGTTGTTGTTTGAGCATGGCCCTGAGCTATAGTCCTCAGTCCCTCTTGATTTAAAATTGAGACCATTTTTTTCCCAGCCAGTGTGGCTCAGTTGGTTGAGTGTCATGCCATATACCAAGAGGCCACAAGTTCGATTCCCAGTTAGGGCACATGCACGGGTTGTGGGCTTGATCCCCATTAGGGGGCGTGCAAGAGGCAGCTGATCAATGATTCTATCTCATCATTGATGTTTCTATCTCTCTCTCCTTCTCCCTTCCTCTCTCTAAAGTAGGCAAAAACATATTTTAAAGAATAATTTTTTATTTTATTTTTTAAAATATATTTTATTGATTTTTTTAAAGAAAGGAGGAGAGAGGGATAGAGAGTCAGAAACGTCGATGAGAGAGAAACATCGACCAGCTGCCTCTTGCACACACCCCACCGGGGATGTGCCTGCAACCAATTATATGCCCTTGACTGGAATCGAACCTGGGACCTTTCAGCCCGCAGACCGACGCTCTACCACTGAGCCAAACCGGTTTCAGCAAGAATAATAATTTTTTTAAAATTGAGATGATTTTTGAAGGAATTAAGAAATACAAATTGGTGGTAACAAAATAGTCACTGCATAAGGGATATAGTTAATAATATTGTACTAAGTATGCTTCCAGGGATGCCACTTTGTAAAGTATGTGATTGTATGCTTTATTTAGTATACTAATACAAAATATTGAAGGTAAACTGTAATTGAAAAATAAAATTAAAATAAAAATAATATCAAATCGAGACCATTTTGATATGCTGATCTTAAGACACATGGTAAAGCCTCGCCTCCCTTTCTTTTTAAACTATTATTTTTAAAAAGTATATACTTTATTGATTTTACACAGAGAGAAAGTGAGAGGGATAGAGAGTTAGAAACGTCAATGAGAGAGATACATCGACCAGCTGCCTCTTGCACCCACCCCCCACTGGGGATATGCCCGCAACCAAGATACATGCCCTTTGACCAGAATCGAACCCGGGTCCTTACAGTCCGCAGGCCGATGCTCTATCCACTGAGCCAAACCGGTTTCGGCTTAAACTATTTTTTATTGTGGTAAAATATATTTAACATAGTTTGCCATTTTAACCATAAAATTCAGTGGTATTAAGTGAATTCACTTTGTTGTACAACCAACCATCATTACTATCTATCTATCTATCTATCTATCTATCTATGTATCTATCACCCCAAACAGAAACTCTGTACCCATTAAGCCACAACTCCCCACTGCATGCTCCCCGCTTGCCCCGCTGCCCCTGGTAACCAACTCTCATGTGCTTTCTGTCTATGGATGTCTCCTCTCCATCATGGAGGCAGAATCACCTAACGTGTGGCCTTGTGTGTCTAGCCTTTGTCATTCAGCATAATGTTTGCGTTTCCTCCTTTCCGTGACTGAGAAATGTTCCAGTGGAGGGAGAGGCCTCATGTGTTCACCACGCGCTGCTGGCACACCGGGCTGTCTCCACCCAGTGGCTCTCGAGAACGATGCCGCTAAGAACATCGCGAACGTGAATCTGAGCCCGAGCCGGTTTGGCTCAGTGGATAGAGGGTCCTGGGCTTGTTCCGGTCAAGGGCATGTACCTTGGCTGCAGGTTCCCCAGCCCTGGTTGGGTATGTACAGGAGGCAACCAATCGAAGTTTCTCTCTGTCTCTTCCTCTCCCTTTCACTCTCTCTAAAAATCAATGGGAAAATAGCCTGGAGTGAGGAGTAACAACAACCACAAAAAAAGAGGAGGAGGATGAGGAGAAGAAGGAAGAAGGAGGAAGAGGAGGAGGAGGAGAGAAGGAGAAGCAGGAGGAGGAGGAATCATCTGAGTCCCTGCCTTCAAATCTTTCAGCCCAATGCTAGGAAGGGAATTGCTGGGTCTATGGAAAGTACACTGTTCGAGGAATCTACTCCACCTCTGGAAAGCCTGGGGCTTCACACAGCACAGGGCCAAGACTTTAGTGTATGGGGCAGGGCAGGGGCAGGGGTGGGGTAGGGCAGGGGCAGGGACAGGGGGCAGGGGCAGGGGCAGGGCAGGGACAGGGGTGGGGCAGGGGTGGGGCAGGGGCAGGGACAGGGGGCAGGGGCAGGGGCAGGGCAGGGACAGGGGTGGGGCAGGGGTGGGGCAGGGGCAGGGACAGAGGGCAGGGGCAGGGGTGGGGCAGGGGCAGGGACAGGGGGCAGGGGCAGGGGTAGGGGTGGGGCAGGGCAGGGGCAGGGACAGGGGGCAGGGGCAGGGGTAGGGGTGGGGCAGGGCAGGGGCAGGGGGCAGAGGCAGGGCAGGGCAGGGGCAGGGACAGGGGGCAGGGGCAGGGGTAGGGGTGGGGCAGGGCAGGGGCAGGGACAGGGGGCAGGGGCAGGGCAGGGGCAGGGCAGGGGCAGCTTGACATGGAGCCCAGGCTCCGTTACCTTGAGAGTTGGTGGCAGATTGAAGGCGTCGATCTCCTTGATCTCATTGGCACTCAGGACCAGCTCTTCGAGCTTCGGGAACTTCAGGAGGTCCTTATCCACCAGGCTCACCTGGGAAGGAAGGGAAGGAAGCTGAGCGCCCAGCTGGCGCAGAAACCTGTGGACGTGAGGGTGGCACCACCAAACCAGCTGCACAGCCCCTCCCAGCACCCCCCTCTGCTCCTGGAGCCTCTCCTGCCTCTCCGCCAGGACACAGGCGCCTCGGGCATTGGGGACCTCTCCCCTCTGCCACCTCACCCCTCCTCTGCCTGGGTGCCTAGTGTCCAGCTCAGTGTCCCGTGTCCCCTGTTGGACGGTGAGCTCCGAGGGCAGGGAGTCCATCCTTGCTGCGCACCCTGCAGCCACGGCGAACCCTAAGGCCTTTAGGAATTTTCCCGCAGCACGGCCAGAGCGGTAGGCCCTTCCTGGCGGGGCCCCTCCTCTGGGGTGACTGACCCCGCCAGCCCGCCCAGGAGCGAGGGGTTCCAGGGACGTGAACATTTCTGTGTTCACGCAGGGCCAGTCCCAGGCAAACAGGCTGCTCCCTCCTCACCCCCCCAGCACCGGTCGCTGGTTTCTCTGGGGAAGGAGGAGCAGGCTGTGGGCTCCGTTATCAGTGATGTCAGCAGAGAAGGCTCTTTAGGGACAGGAATCACTATAGTACGGTGCCCCTCCCCTGACTCTGGGCCCCACAACTGAGATGAAGTAAAACCAGTACAAACACTACGGGGACCCAGGAGGGTGGACTGCAGGGCACTCTGGAAATCACTGAGACCGCAGGGGACCTCACTGGGGGGGGGGGGGGAAGAAGGCACAGAGCACACAACAGGCGAGCAGCTGGCTCTGCTGGGTGGGCCAGCCGGTCAGATTATTTAGAAGGCGGGCAGAGCTATCCTTCTCTCTCTCTTTCTTCCCCTTCCCTCCTTCCCTCCTCCCCCTCCCCCTCCTCCTCTCCACCTGGTCTTATCACTAAGTGCAGGAGGTGATCTCCTAACATCCCCTCTGTCCCCTCGATGTGCCCGCGGCAGGCAGGTGCCAGCTGCCGGCACTCACCTTCTTGTCCACCAGGTGGAGGGACCTGAAGTAGGAGTACAGGAAGTCCTCTCTGAGCATCTGGGGGTTGGTGATGGCCAGCTGCCTCAGGAAGCGGTCCTCGGCACTGGAGTCCTCCAGCAGGGCCCAGGGCGACTGGGGGCTGCAGACCAGGCCCAGCAGGTCCTCCACCGTCTCCTCCGAGGGGCCCCCGGCCTCCTCCTCTCTGGGGACCAGCTCCCGCCACACCCGACAAGTCCGGGGGAGGAATCGCGACTTGTTCTGTGGCCGTGGGGAGGGAGAAGGTCTCTGTTATGACTCAGTCCTCTCAAGGATCCGAAACCCGAGGAACTGAACAGATTGTAAAACAGGACCGTCAGGGATAAAGAGTTTGGAAGTTTAGACAATGTGTCATGGACACTTTTGACTGCTCATCAGCCAAGGGACGGACGAGGGGAATTCAAACAATAACAAAGAAGACCCATTCCCGCCTTCAGAAATTGCTCTTGAGCTGGGACCCTGGGCCGTGCAGATGGAAGAGATGAAAAACATCTAAGGGAAGATTTACGTCTGTCTGTCCTGGAAGCCAGGCGGTGCTGCAGGCCCCCTGTGAGAAGTCCTGACTAATGAAGGGAAAGGGGGCAAGGCTGACGGTGAGTTCAGAACATTTAGGTGCCGGCGGCAGGAGAAGGTGAACGAATTCGCCCGCTTTCCTTCCCACTCCTCCCCCAGGAGACGCTAGGAGACCCTAACGCTCAGTACCAGGCCAGACACACAGTAGGTGCTCCATGTTTGTGTAAAAAATGCCGACTCCCCCTGGCGCTGACCAGAGTGTGGGGCCTCCTGGGCTCAGGAGCCCCCTCTCCCCCGGGGCGTCCAGGGACCGCACAGCGGGGTCCCACGTGCTGGCGCCCCTCTCGGGCCAGCTCTCCGCTCCCAAGCGGCCTGGGGGGCCTTAGGGGAGGGCGGCCCCGCCCACAGGCTGCCGTGCTCAGTTGGCGGGACAGACACCCACACACACACACACACACACACACACACACACACACACACGCTGCCCTTCACCTGGGTCGGCTCCCACAGGCCTGGGAGGGGCTATTCGGCCCGGCCCCCACCCCAGGGCAGGCAGCGCCCTACACGCCCAGCCCCCAGCCCCCTCTGCCCTGCCCGGCCCCTCCCACTCCCCGGGCCCCCGGACGGCCGTCTCCTCCGCCCCAGGCCCCGTCTCCCCCCGCCGCCCGCACCCAGCTGCCGGCGCCGCACGGGAACTCCCGCAGACACAGCTTCCGCAGGTGCTCCCGCACCGCGGCGCTCACGGTCCCCGCGCCCTGGTCCACACGCTCCTCCATCGCCGCGCGGACCCCGCGCCCTGCCGGTCGCTAAGCAACCGCCGGGACGCGCACGTGCTCCGGCGGGCGGCGCAGGCGCAGGCGCCCTGGGATCCAGGACTCCGCCCCCGGGAGACCCCGGCTCAGGCCCTGGCCCCGGGGGCTTTCCCTCCCGGCCCCGCCGGTGCTCCCGGCTGTGAACCAGGGGAAACAGGGACTGCGGCTCCCAGCAGCGCCGCGCTGCCCGTACTGAGGCTTTCTCCTCCAGGGAAAAGTGCTCATCGCCATCCCCACGGACAGACCTGGAAAGGAGAAGTTAGCTCAGGGCCAATCTCAAGATTGTAATCAGGGGATTCCAATGGAATCTTCTTAACTCCCGCCAAAACCGGTTTGGCTCAGTGGATAGAGCGTCGGCCTGCCGACTGAAGGGTCCCAGGTTCGATTCCGGTCAAGGGCATGTACCTGGGTTACGGGCACATCCCCAGTGGGGAGTGTGCAGGAGGCAGCTGATTGATGTTTCTCTCTCATCGATGTTCCTAACTCTCTATCCCTCTCCCTTCCTCTCTGTAAAAAAATCATTAAAATACATATATTAAAAAAAAAAAAAAAAAAAGAATCTCCTTAACTCCTGACTCAGGGGGTTTTAATCACCGCCTACATCTGTCACCGGTTCAGCATCCAGACCCCATTTCAGCCCTTAAAGGCCCAGATCCCACTTACCTCTCCAGCACGGAGCTCACTGCCAGTCACACAGTTTGTGACATCTGTGGGATAAGATGGCTCCGGTTCCTGTAACATGGAGACGCAGCGTCGTTGATGGAGACACAATTGACGTACCTGGAACTCGCTGCTTTAAAGTGTGCGCTTTAGGGTATTCACAGCGCAACTGTCAGTGTAATCTAACTTTCAGCATTTTTCCTCGTCCCAAAAGGACCTCCCACACAGATCAGGCAACTGATCTCCATCCCCGCATCTACCCAGTCCCCAGTCCCCCCAAACCACCATATTTTTCTGTCCCCGTGGGGTACTAGGCCACGATACGGGCAGAACACGTTTTGTTTATCCTTTCATCACCTGACAGACCTTCGCGCTGTCTTCGCTTTCTGGCTCTGACGAATCACGCTGCTGTGAACACTCCTGTCCCGGTTTCCGTGGGAATGCATGTTTTCATTTTTCTCGGAATGAATTCCTCTAGGAACGCAACTGATGGGTCGTGTGGTCCGGATTTGTGATGGGTAGATATTTTCTCCTCTTCTAGGCCTGTCTTTCCTTTCTCTCGACGGTGTCTCTGGAAAAGCAAAAACGTTTCATGTTGAGAAAGTCCCTTTTTCCTGTGTGATCCTTCCCAAAACACCTGCTGGGGTGGCTACTCTCCTGTAGGAGAACCTTTGCTATTGTTAGAAAATTTCTCCCAAACAAGGAAAATAAATAATAAAATACATATCCAGGAGTCTGTTGCAATATAAATAAGGTGACCAGACGTCCCACTTTTGGGGGGACAGTCCAGATTTTTAACAATTTGTCCTGAGTCCCGCGGCATTTTAAAGTCCTGAAAATTGGAACTGTCCCGCCAAAAGCGGGGCGTCTGGTCACCTTAAATATAAACCAATCAGAAAGATGAATCACAGTGAACTCCCAGGATTTTGACGAAGCAACTGGTTGGTTTCACTTTTTTCTCACTTCTCAAACCACCACCACACGGCTTCCACCCCCAACGGTGTGCTCAGACTTCCCAGTGACCTCACGTTCCCTGCCTAGCGACTCTCAGCCTTCATCTTCGCTGTCCTCTCCACAGTGTATGATGGGGCAGATCACTTCCTCCTTCTTGAAAACCGCTTTCATCTTGCTCCATGACAACATGCTTCTCTTTCTCTCCAGAGCGCCTTCTCTGTCTTCTGGGCTAACTCACCTTCTTCTCCCTGTGCTGCTGATGGAGGGGCACCCCTGGCTCCACACCTGACTTATAGCTTGTATTTTCTTTAGATTTTAAAATATATTTTATTGACTTCAGAGAGGAAGGGAGAGAGAGATAAAAACCTCAGTGATGGGAGAGGATCACTAATCGGCTGCCTCCCGCATGCCCCACACAACCTCGCATCAAACCATGACCTCCTGGTTCATAGATCAATACTCAACCACTGAGCCATGCCGGCCGGGCATTTAAAAAAATATTTTTGAATGATTTTTTTTTTAAGAGAGAGAGGAAGGGAGAGAGTGAAACATTGATGTGAGAAAAATATTGATCGGCTGCCTCCTGCAATGCCCCCCACCTAGGATCAAGCAACCCAGGCATGTGCCCTGATTAGGAATCAAACCTGCAACCCTTCACTGCATGGAATGATGCCCAACCAACTGAGCCACACCAGCCGGGGCAATATTGGCTCTTGGTTGCTGCTGTAGAAAATGGGGTACACTTGGCAGCTTAAAATCACAAAGTTACTGCCTCACAGTTTCTGTCGGTCAGAAGTCCAGATGGTGTCACTGGGTTCCCTGCTCTGCATCTTATCAGGCTAAATCGAAGTTATCAGCTGAGGCTGCAGTTCTCAGCTACACTCACTAGTCATTGGCCAAGTTCATTTTCTTCTCATGCTTTTTCCACTTGGCTCCCTCCATCTTCAAGCCAGCAGTGGCAGTTGACTCTTTCTCATGCTTTGAGTCTCTCTGACTTTCTCTTCTGACTTCCTCTCTGTTTTTAAGGGCTCCTGTGACTACATTGGACCCACTTGGTAATCACCTAGCTTAAGATCAACTGATTAGTAACTGTAATTACATCTGCAAAGTCCTTTCTGCCATGTAATGTAACATAATTATGAGAGTAAATACCAGGGGGTGAAAGTCATGGGGGCAAAATTCTGCTTACCAAGGACTTTGCTAGAGGATTTTTAATAAATTCTTGGGGTGAAAACCATACTGTGGCAGTTTGTGAAGTGAGGTAAAAGTGAGCATAGATTGCTCTGCCAACAAGCTTGGATAAGAAGAGGAAAGAGACCAGGAGCAGTTGGAAGGAGGCTTGGGATTAAGGTGAAAGGGGGATTGTAGCTGCATCTTCAGCTCTATGGACCGCCCTGGCCTGACCTCTCAGTTTTGCGCTCTGGACTCCAATCCACCTGCTGTCTAGACATTGAATAGATTCCCATTGGGCATCTCAAACTTGACTCATTCCAAATAGAACTCTTGGTTTCCCCTCTCTAGTCTTTTCCCTCGCTGCACATCAACCACCTGATTGCCTTATCAATATTCCCAGAGTCATCCTTGATTCCTGTCTTCGATTCCTCTCCACATGACTCCATTCGCTAGTTCTGTAGACTCCATCTCCATCCGCTCTATCCTGGTCCAAGCTGCCCTCCTCTCTCACCTGCATGGGTGCCGACCCTCCTAATGGGTCTCTCTGCTTCCACCTTGGATTCCCGCAAATCCGTTCTCCACTCAGCAGCCTATCTTTCTTCTCACTTCTTCGAGTAAGCCAGACCCTGTATTTCCCTACCATGCCAATCAATGGTGCATCACACGTAGAATGAAACCCAAGTTCTTTATCCTCATATGACCCTTGCGACTTGACCGCTGGCCCCCCTCCCCCCTTCTCTCACTTTGCTCCAGCTGCCACCAGCTGCTCCCTGTCCTTAGTCATAGCAAGCTCATTTCTGCTTGAGGACTTGCATGTGAGGGTTCCCCCTGTCGGCACTGCTTCCTCAGGTCTTCCCACAACAGGTCCTCATCTGTCAGGTTTCGGCTCAGAGAGAGACTTTTTCTGGTCACCTGTCACTCTCTACCCCAACACCTCGATTTTCGTAGTTCTTGTGACCTGACGCTTTCTTGTTTATTAACGTTGTGCGCCTTGCCCATGAGAATGCCAGCTCTGAGTGAGGGCAGGGACCCTGTCGAACTTCTTTGCCACCATGACCCTAGGGTCCCTGAGACCCTAGAAGAGCGCCCGGTCGAAGGTGGCACTCGAACCACGCGTCGGTGATCTCAACAAATGACTCCCGAGCACGGATTCCGGCTCCTGGTCCCGCACTTGCAGAGTCCAGTGATGTTCAAGGACGCACAGAAGGGAGATTCAGGCGTTGACAGGGCAGTCATAGTGGGTAGCAGGGCTGTCCCTGCACGCTGGCAGGGGCCTGCTTCAGAAATTCACAAAGATAATGCGCTTTGCAAGCACACTCCCACGCCACCCACACGCGCTCAGCTGTGACCCCCCCAGAAATTCCCTGTGGGCCGCTGACCAGCATCTCCTGCGGCATCATGTTTCGTGGTGGTTGCGCCTGTCAGCCCTGGGCTTCAAAATTTCTTCTGGTCAGATCTGCCCGCTCTTTCCAAGAAGACGGGGCAGAGATGCGTGTGTGCCTTCCTGTGTGTGCCTGCGCTGAGTCAGGCATCTACCCACCTTGAGGGTAACCTCAGCATTTCCTTCCAGCCCAGCTTTCACTCAGCCTTGGGCGGCAAAATTTTGAAAGTGTTTTCTGGAGAAAAGCTGAGCAATAATCTTGTCAGGGGCGGAACATCGATGGTCCTTCCTCGCGGCGGGCCCTTTATATACCGCCCGGAGGCCATGGCGAGCACATCAGCTCAAGCCGCCGCCGCCGAAGCAGGCTCCGCTCCCTCTCGCCATGGCCTCCTGCACAGGTACCGGACACGGACAGGAAGACTCCGGAGGGGGCTTGGCGGGGGGAGAGAGGCTGGGAGGGCAGGGGCACCTGGCCAGGGGGCTTCATGGCAGCATTCTCTCCTCAGGACCTGCCAGGGGCGCCCTGCTCCTGCTCTGTTGGATGGGAGCCTTGCTGTCCGTCCATGCGGCTCCCGTCCCTGACAGTGACCTGAAGGAAATCATCATAGAACTAAGGGCCTCAGCGGAGAGACTTCTGGAAAGCTGCGTAAGTGCCCCCCAAACTTCTTTCCTGAGCCGTTTCTTAAGACACCTTTCCTTGCGCCCAGAAGTAGCTCCTTTCAGACCCGAGGCCAGGGCTGTGGCTACGTGGGAAGGGATGGGGACAACGGGACAGGTGACAGTGGGATTTTTATGCGGGCGGGGGTCAGAGGCAGAGATGAGCCCCAAACCCAAACGTTTCTCAGAGAGAATCACCGATCGGCTGCCTCCTGCACACCCCGCACGGCAGAATCTGCTTCGGTAGGCTCGGTCATCCTTACGAGGTTTGGCTCTCAATATTGTAAAATGAAGTTTCCTGTCTGCAGCGCATCCTTTGATGTGGCCCATCTTGTCTGCCGGCTCAGGAGCCGGTGACCACCAGTCTAAGCCATGACAATGCCCCTGAGAACCAAGGGCGTCGAGAGCTCCTGAGGGTCACCGGGAGCTCTCTCCCCGCAGAGCAGGGCAGCTAACCCATAGGTGTCTGCCTGTCTGCCCTTCACTGTTTGATTAGGACCCGGTCTGCCTCCAGCTGAGGCTCTGCTGAGCCAGCCCCTTCAGGGGGAACGTCTGAGGCTGAAAATGTCCGCGGTCCCTCGATCTCTCAGGGTTGCGATCGGGACAGAACCTCTTAGGCAGCTTTGGTTAAACGAACAAGCGAAAACCCAAACGTGGACACAGCTGGTGGCACTGGCCTTGCCCCTTCCGTCCACCCTGGCATCCAAACCGCAGCCTTGGCTTGTGGAGACCCAGGGGCAGAGGCTGTCGGCGAGATGGCGGGCAGTTCAGGCTGGTGGGTGCTCTTAGCTCCAGTTCAACCCTGATGCTTAGTCCTCGGGCAGAGGGACAGGGAGAGGGTGGTCTGGAGCCTGGTGTGTTTGGGAAATCTTACCCTGGCGTCTTGGAGGCCTTTCCGCCGAGCGCAGCCTCCTCTGGAGCAGGAGCTGCACCGGGTGTAACGCGAGCAGCCCAGAGCAAGCAGCCACACGGACACCCAGAAGTCTCACTTCCTGTCCCTCTGAGTCCCGGGCAGTGAGAGCCCATTCCAGAGGCTGCGGGGGCCTCAGCCAGATGGAAGAGGAGGCCAGAGGGACCAGTGACTTAGCACAGCCGTCCTGACGGCCAGGCCACCTGGTGTGGGTGGGCATCTGGTCTGCCACCTGATCTTGGGCCTGCTACCAACCAGCTGAGCTTTAGCGTCTTCTACTGATGACCACAGCCTCCTGGGGTGGTGGCCCTGATGAGAGGAGATGTTGGGGGTGATGGGGGAGGGCTGTGACCAGCCATAGAAAAAAGCAACTAGAAATCACCTGTTGGGATTCCTAGCAAACCTGATGCTCATCTTGGCTCCCCCTTGTTAGAAAGAGACGGGCCTGCCGAAGTCCAGGCTTCACCGGCTGCGGCCTTTCGCCTCCGACTGCCGACCGCCACACTACATCAACAGCTCAGCCGTCCTGCCTTACTTCAGGGCCATCAAACGTCATCCGTGTCTTTGTGAAGACAACATGGACATCGATGACATCATACAGCAGCTCGAAAAGCCCCTATTTCCACGTGGGCCGGAAGCGAACGTTTCGGCGCCTGACAACAGCTTTGAATGTAAGAAGTTCTCCTGGGCGGTCGTAGAGGAGTTTTCTAGGTGTGTGAAATCGCTGTAGTCACGGAAACGGGCTCGACGGCCATCCGGTGGAGCCTTTTCCTCTTGGAATGGTGAAAACGCGTGAAGCCTTCAGAAAAGACGAGTGACTGCTGACGTGGGCGAACTCTACCACGAGTTGCAAGTAAATTACTCCAATGAATGACCTCAGTGAGCCCCCAGATGACCCGTCCTGGGGGAAGTGAGATATAAACCTGTGAATGAACTTGAGGCAGATTTCAAACTGTCATTGTTATCCGTCTTGGTATTTATGGAATGTTGTTGTTGTTTTCTGCGGACTTAACTTTTATTTATTACTCTCCTTATATATGTACCCTTGCGAGGGCAGGAGCTGGCACCTGTGTTAACTTATTGATATTTATTGTATTGAGAGTTGTTAATGCCGTTGGCACCTATTTAATAAATTATTTTGAACTTTTCTCATAACTCTGTTTTGCATGTTGTGAAGGGGGTTAAAATTAGTGCCTGGGGGTTCTGGCTGGGTGGTGTGCAGCTGAGGGAGCAGGGGACATGCTGTAGAAATAGATACTACTTCTACCATTTTGGCCCACTGAGCAGGCTCGGTAGCAAATTATAATAATTTCAGCAGCCACAAGCATTTATGGGGCATTTTCTTTATACCAGATCATGTAGGTACCATTATTGTCCTCTTCTTATAGGTGGAGAAACCAAAGTCAAGAGTCATTTAGTTATTTGCTCGAGGCCACAGCAGAATCGTTGCCTGGCAACGTGTTAGAAATGCAAATCCGTGGGCTCTGCCCCAGACCTACTGAGTCGGGCAGTTTGTGGTGCAGCCGGCAAATCTGTGCTTTAGTGAAACCTCCAGGTGATTCGCATACACATGCGGGCCTGAGTCCGTCAGCACTTTCATCTTTATCTCCTTTTGAGGGAAACTGAGGCCCAGACAGATAGTAGGACTTGCCCAACTCTTCATATAAGGGTGTGAGGCAGGCACGCTGAGATGGCAGGCAGTTCAGCCTTGGACTTCTGTGCTCTAAGTTCCACACCAGCCTTTTAGGCTCCCAAATAGCCTGACCCCCAATGACAATGTTTTCGTCAGTCCCCAGACAAACACCTGCTGTGGTGTTTGACTGTCTGCCTACTTATGCGTTTGTTGATTGCTTCTTTTGAGTGCCCTGACTGGGGATCGAATCTACAACTTTGACAGATCAGGATGATGCTCTGACCAACTAACCCACCTGGTCAGGGCCTTGGCATGATTTATTATCGATTAGGTGCCAGAGTCTGTGAACTTGCAGACAATTGATGAGATGCAAATGATACCTACCAAGAGGAGAAGATAACCCCAGAGGTGATGGTTTATTGACTGTAGAACATCAACCAGTGGAACAGCAACCTGAGCATTTTATCCCAGCATCCATTTCTTCAGATGAAAGAGATGTTAGTTCCTTGTACAGTCCTGTCCCTTCCTTGATGAGGTGAAGGAAACCTTTATCTTTGTCTTTGAGAATGAAGGGTTAATGGTTTGAGACTTAGCTTTGGTAGAAAGCAGAGCCAGCCTCTTGCTACGGAGGCCGAAAAGGCGAGAGATGCTGCCTTCCTTGTAGCAAGGATGTGGGCATGTGAAGGAAAACGTCTCTCCACTCACAGCACAGGTGTGGGCCTTCCACCCTCACAGTCTCCAGCTCGCTGCGGACACCAACCAGGCGTTACACCTTGATTCACCATGGCTGCTGAGTTAGTGCAGACTCCCCAGGATGAGGTCTCAGCCCCACAAGACTGCCCCCCACCACTTCAGACACCAACCGCAGGTCCCCAGGTCACCTACTCTTGCTAGGACGGCTCACAGGAGTCAGGGAACCCTCTACTCATGTCCCTGGTCTGTTATGAAGGATGTGATGATGATTCAGACAGATGCACAGCCGGATGGAGATGTGCAGAGGGTGAGGACTGGAAGGGTCCCGAGCACCACGCTTCTGCCCTGGGGAGCTGATTGCACCCCCTCCTGGCGCATGGACGCAGTCACCAACCCCCATAATTCAGAGATTTTCTTATGAAGGTTACATCCCTCAGACATGATTGATTATTAACTCAATCTCCCGTCCCTCTCCTTCTGAGGGGGAGGAGAGGAAGGGCAGGAGTGTGGGGTGGCAAGTCCCAAGCTTCTAATCCTGGCTTGGTCTTGAGGGTGCACCAGCACCCTGAAGATATCCGGGAGCCCCCAAGAGTCACTCCGTTAAAACCAGGGACACTCCTATTATTGTCCAGGAATCAACCAGGCATCTCTGGTTCAGGAGCTCTGCGCGAGGAACTGGGCAGGGCAGAGACCAAATACACCTTTCTCTTTCTGTCCCGGCATGGGGCCATGGCAATGCCATCAGACTGTGGCTCAGGGGCTGGTGGCACGGAGCAGCAAGCTCAGCAAGTTCAGTGTTGCAGGGAGAGACGGCCATTGTCCTGGGGGGCAGCAGAGGCCGAGCTCTTAGGGGCTGCCGGCCCTCCACCCTGCTAGGACCAGGCCCCTTGCACCCTTTCAAAGACCCGGGCTCGGCCCCAATCAGCCAGAGTGGTCCCAGCTGCACAGCTGACAGCAGCCCGGGGCCCCGCGGGCCTGGCAGCAGGCTGCGAAAGTCCAGGGTTCCGCAGATGACTCAGTGACTGCTGGGGGCCGCGCCACGGTTCTGACTAAAACCACGTCGAGGCTCTTGCAGGGAGAGGAAGCCTTTTGAAGCCTTTGATTTCTCCTCTTGTGTTTCCAGCAAATCCACCTACAGCTTCTCTGATGAAGAGGTTTATCTGCTAACCAACCCCCTTCCTTCCTTTGGGGACAGCACTGGGCATCCCAAACACCAGTCTGTCCGCCCGCAGAAGGCCCCACGCCGGTTCGGATGCTCTGCTGTCACGGTCTTGACATTCTTGATGATTCTGAACAAGGGGCCGGCACTTTCATTTTGTATGAGACCCACACATTGTGTCGCTGGTCCTGTTGGGGCGTCTGAGTGAAGTGCTGATTCCTGGCTTTCACACCGAATGCGTCTGGGCTGGCCCTGGAGTCAGTATTTTTAACAGCTTTTTTGACATACAATGTACATGTCTCAAAGCTCCCCCATTTAGAGAGTCCAATTCGATGTCTTTAAAAAATATTTTTATTGATATTATAGAGGAAGGGAGAGGAAGAGAGAGACAGAAACATCAGTAATAAGAGAGAATCATTGATCCGCTGCCTCCTACATGCCCCATACTGGGGATTGAGCCTGCAACCCAGGCATGTACCCTGACGGGGAATTGAACCAGGGACCCGCCGGTTGGGCTCCATGATGTCTTTTTTAGTATAGTCATACAGTCGTGCAACCGTCATCACTAACTCTGGGACATTTTCATCACCCCCAAAAGAAACCAGCACCGTTAGCAGTCACCGCACTCTCCACCCCTCGGGCTCTAAGACTACTGCTCTGCTTTCTGTCTCTGTGGACCTTGTGTGTCCTGTCCACACACTACATGGTCCTCTGTGTCTGGCATCTCTCACTCAGCATCATGGCCTCAAGGACCACCCACGTGGCAGCAGGTGTGGAGCTCCATTCCTTCCATTTGATGGCTGAGATGGGATCAATGGGGCCTGACGCAGGTGGCCCACCAGCTGGTGACACTGCCTCCATGCCTACTTTCCCCATTTCTCAGAAACAAGAAGCATTTGGAGGGGAGATGGGGGAAGAGATTAGGGCCTCATTTACTCCTTTAAATCAAAACAACCTACCACAGTGCAATGGAAAAGAAAAACAAAAGGATTCATTCTCACCTTTCCTGAGAGTGGCAACATGGGGCAGAGATGCCCCCAGGTGACCAGGTGACAAATCCTAAATTACCGGGAAGCTCACCAATGAGGACTCCTAAACAATTAGAATTCCTCTGCCTCCTCATCTGCCAAAACCAAGAAAGAGGCAAAAAGATAAGCAAATGTTGGCATTTTGTGACTAATTTAGTGTCTGTCTCCTCTACCAAATGATTCCCATGGCATAGCTTGTGATCAAAACAATTCTAAGTGATGACTTTTAAAATTCAAGTGCCCCTCATCTACAGAGTAAAGAAAAAAATAAACTGATAAGCAAGGGTCACAGAGAAGCAAAAAATCATATGATAACATTATTTATTTCAGGGGAAACTTGCTGTAAATTTGCCTAATTAAAAAAGGAAGGGCAGGGAATATAAAGCTGTGAGATGTTTTTAAGCAATGTAACTTTTTTCTTATTCTGGAGAATTAAGAGGAGAGAGGAAAAATAAAAAGGAAATAGAAGAGGCAATCAGATCATGAGAGAGAGAAAAGGAGGAGGGAGAGGGATGTCTTAATATAAAATGAGAAATCAAGTAGCCAATAAATGTGAAACTATGCTCAGCATAACAAAGAAACGCAAATATGCAGAAGATCGTGTTTTCTGTCCATCCAATCAGTGAGGTTTGAGGGTGAGTTTGTGATGAGAAAAGTCCATTCTATTCCCCCCCCCCCGCCCCTGCCAAACACACACACACACACACACACACACACACACACACACACACGTAATCCTCTCCTGGGATTCTATTGTAATGAGATTTCCTAAGGAAATGATCAGATGCTTGGACCGGACACACACACCTCATATTCAAAACAGCGCTAATGATAACAATCAAAAACAAACAAGGAAACTAGAGAGGAACCAACCTGTGTGAATCCAAGTCTTCCCAGAAGCAGGCACCAGGATGGGATTCTCCATGCAAAGAAGTTATTAGGGATAATTTTCTTTATATTTATATTGTGTTCAAAATTTTCTAAAATCAGTATATGTTATTTTGGAAATCAGTAAAATAAACACAACTTCAAATTTTAAATGCTTTCATTGATTTTTTTTTTTTTTTTTTTGAGAGAGAGAGAAGAGAGAGGGATAGAGAATTAGAAACATCGATGAGAGAGAAGCATCATCGATAGGCTGCCTCCGGCACACTCCCTTATCAGGGGTCAAGCCTGCAACTCAGTAATCAAACCAGTGGCCTCCTGGTTCCTGGCTT